CTCTATATCTTCCTTTTTCTTCTTGTTTCACTGGCCTGTTTCTTTACAGGGAGTAAAGCTGATGTTTCACAACAGGGAACACCTATGAACATTAGCTTTCAGTCTTTCTGCCTCAGACTTTCTCTATTTTCAGCATTTCTCTCCCTTTGCTTCTCAGTCTGATTAAAATTCTTAGTCTTTGTTTTTTTTCTATCCACAACTTCACTCCTTATTTTCTGCTTTCTTTCTCCCTCCTTCATTCTATTCTCGATCTTCCTCCGCAGTCCAGCTGACAGTATGAAACATGACCTCTCACTTTGCCTTGGTTTCTATTAAGGAACACACACACACATACAAATGCACACACTCCCACGCACCTTCACATACCACCCAAATCCCAAATGCTATTTCAAACTGCTTTGGAGCTGGGGGGAGACAGGGGCTTATTGAGATGAAGCATGAGGCCTTGGGGGTGACAACGTGGGCATGATTGTCTGCTCGGCTGGCATTCTCTTCCTTGAAACTCCACAGAAGCTAAACCCCACCAGAAACCAGAGCTAACCATAAGAGATAAAAAGTGAGAGTGCTATTTCAATTCTCGGTGTCATGCCATTCATCACAGGCCTCTAATGACAAACTGTGCAGTTAAGCTATCGTTTCCAAGAAGAAATAGGAATTCTTCAGTCAAATCTATCCATAAAAAAAGCAAGGTCCTGGTCAACACAACTCATATCATGCCTGCATAATGGCTCACAATACATCTGACGCCATCAAGAGCATTCTGTCCTCTCCTGCTCAGAATAAATTCTGACTGCCCTCAAATTAATGATCAGTGAAATCTGTGGAAACCATTCAGCATCGCCAAATCAAAGGGAAGGTTATGAATATAAAATGATGAAAGCCATTCAAAGAGCTGCCTTTGATGAGGAGTTAAAAACTTCGACTGACAGCGGTAAATGTTTCTCCGGCCTTTTTTGTAAACCACAGTCTAATGTTTCCTGAAGTAGCACTGGAGGGCACTGATTGCACTGTGGGTGACCAATCTGAGCGGCACGCGTTAATGTGTTTTTTTATGTACAAATGGGTGGGAGAATAACAAATTCCAGATAAGTTTCACTTAACAATCAATTGTAGAATCATAAGAGGTAACAGAAAGAAAGTAGAAACAAGATCCATCTGTCTGCATAATTTTTCAACTATTATTATGACTGGTAAAATGGATATTATGCTTGACCGACGTACCAAAGTGCCCCATTAGGCCAATTAGTGCTTTTTTCCTACACAAGACAGTTCTAATTAATGTGCAAGCAACTTTTTAAAAAATGGTCCTTTGATGTGACCAACTGAGAATTGCTAAGGTAGAAAATTATCCCCTTAACTCCAGACTACCCATGGCACCTTTAATAGCGTCCTCTAAGGTTTAAAAATTCAAACTTTTGTGAAAGTTACTCAGCTGTACCCACTGATGCGTAGGTCAAATATGAAACATTTACATAAAGAAACAAGATTTAAGAACATCTCCAAATTTTCTGTTATTCTGAACCAGAGAAAGCATTTAAAGGGAGCACGACATAGACCAAAGCTTGGGTTTTGAACAACACCCGCAAACGGAGAGAAAAGCAGATACGGCAGATACAGAAAGGCTGAGCAACAAAGTGAATTCCACCGTTGGCGTTCACAATAGTCATGCTATGTTATGTGATCCTGTTAGCTTGCCTGAGTTATTGTATTGGAAACATTGTGGGGCGGTAAGCACCGAAGAGGCAGTAGGCTTTCAGAGGCACAGGGATAGAAGGCTAAATGACAGATGATACACAAATTTAAAGACCACAGGATGGCCCAAGGCAAGCTGGGAGCCACAGACAAGTACCCTTTTACGGTAACACAGACACTGCTACTGCATACTCAAACAGATAAACTCTGGGGGACTCTTATATTAGGCATGCACACAAGCTGCTGTACAATCACACACACTCAACGTACTTGCTGTGTTTCATTTCAGGGGCTGCTTCCTTTGCAAATCTGCATTCCAAGAACAAATCAGAAAAAGGCTGACAGGGCCATGCTATTTTAAAAGCTTGTTCACATGTAGCCTTTGTCGTCCCCCAAATCTGGAGAAAAACAAACCACCATATCGCTTTTGTGCTACGTCTTCTTCCTTGGTTTCTGACTCAGCAAGTGAATGAAGACTGCTCTGATTAGTTCTGTCCACACAGGGAACTTGCAATTAAGCTAAAGCAAGTCTTCATTTAGCAATGAGGTGCACTTGCGTCCTACAGTCTATGGTCCTCTCAAGGACATCATATGTCGTGTCCTTTTAAGGTGTTGACACAGAAGATGAGATTCTGCTAACATCCCATCTATATTTGCATGCACAGAGGTGCCTCAATATCATGCTGTGAATCTAATCTCAGTTTACAGCCCACCATGGTATAAGTCTTCTAGTGCACACTGAAAATGGATTATAATTCTATAAATGCCTTGGAAGGAGTAGTCTGTTGGAGTTTTGCAGAAAGATCAGTAGCCTCCCTTGGTACCTCCTGCTAAGGTGCACTGCAGGAGTTATCAATGGAGAAATCTAATAACACATACTTCTGCAACCTTTCATGTTCCTTGTCTTCCCCTGTTTCGCACTTCCAGTCTATCTTCACCTTCCCTTTCTTGTTTGACTCGTCCAACCGCTTTTGTCTTTGGGCGACTCTTTACAAACGCAAACAATCCCGCACAGACACAGCTAGAGCACCTTTTGAAATGGATGAAAGCTTAGTGACAACATCAAGTCCCGTTATGGTGCCTGTAATTGTGCAATGTTGCCGACAACAAGGACAATAAAAAAAGCCATGGCTTCACATCGAAGCAGAACGGATGGAGAGCGACACGGCGTCTTGGAGTCTCCGGCTGTAATATTTCTCACAGTGTTGTGATGGTGTGCTATTTTCCACCCCACAAGTCACAAAAACTGCCATGTACAAAGCAATACACTCTCTTAGTGAGAAGTTGAAGGTCCCTACTCGAATTACAATAAAAGTAAAAGTAAACGCATATAAAGAAAATAACCTCACAGTCATTTTCCTCAGTTTCTTCAGTTCCTGCAGTTGTGAATGGCTGACTTTGTGCCAGGAATGGGTGCTCCAATTGTAAGGCAATGACAGAGACAATGAGGCAGTGAGACGCAAATGGAGATGGGAAGAACAAATATATGTCTAAAGGGAAACATAAACAGGAGAAATCAATGGACACAGTAAGAAGAGGCTTTTATTGAAAGAAAAACTTTATTATTGTCATTTAGTGTTTTCTTTTTTTTTTTTACCATTAAAGGACTGAAAAATGGATAGACATATTTGGTTAGCATTGTACTTATGAGTGCCATGTGACTAAATATACAGTAAACACTAATCAAAATATGCAGTGCCTACAATCCCTGAATACCTCGACCGTACTGTTTAGTCGCCAAAATTTTGCTTTTCAAGTCAAACAAGCCCTATTGTCAAGCATGTTCCAATGAGTGCTTACAAAAGTTATGGTTTTCCTGATAATTTTAGGGGCTGCAGAAAATTTAGAGTTCAAGGACTGTAGAGCACCTGGGTGTGCTGTGCATAAAAAGCTGAGGTCATTAGAGGGAGCATTTTAATTTATGACCAGACTTTGAAAGACTTTGTTTGTATTAAACCCCGTGAATTGCTTGGTATTTCATTCTCTGCTCTTTCTCTTCTCTCTGCTTGTTGAACACATTTAATGTTATGAATTCAGCATCCACTTTGTGGTCTGACGTGGGTTCCTCTGGGTATCCTCTGAGGAAGTCATTTGGACATCAGGTGGTAAAGCACTCTTGTTGGAGTCCCAATTTATGAACTGCGCTGCTCGACTTGCTTGACACAGGCCTGTATATCTAAAGGAGTGCTCACAAATGACATCAAACTCTTGTCTTCTGTAATTAGATGGGATTAGTCTGGGTTGAGAGAAGCAGCCCCAAACTGACGGAGCCTCAAACTCAATTTGCATAATTCAAAACCTCAGGGGCTTGTAAAAAGTAAGTTTGAAGGAAGAATAATGAAAGGGCCAACCTTTTTTTAGTTAGGTTGAGTCTAGAAAATCAACAGACAGATGAACGCTTGATGCCATAGAGAGTCGGAGATGTTTAGTCATGGTAGAAACAGCAGCTTGGTAGTCAGGACAACTATGTCCTGCTCCCAGTGACGCAGGTATCCTTGTTAGTTCTGTTACTCTTCACATGATTTCTCAAGTGCGTACACACTGTTGGCTCATTATTTTTTCTGATTTAGGTGCTGACTGAAAAGTCCAGATGTGTACATGGACAAATTCTTTTTTTCCTCCTTCTTCTCTTTTGTTAGGTTTCCTCTTCTTTTGGTTGCTCCCTTCAGCGGATCATCTGCCTCACCCTATCCCTAGCATCCTCCTCTATCACACCAACCTTCTGAATGTCCACCTTCACCATTTCCATGAATCTTGCCTGAGGTCTTCCTCCTTCTGCCTGGCAGCTCCATCTTGAACATCCTTTGTCAAATCTATCCACTATCTCTCCTCAACACATGTCCAAACCATTTCAGCCTCTCTTTGTCTCCAAAATTCTTCTCGTTGTCCTTGTTTTGAATCCTGTCGTCCCCGGTCACTCCCAGTGGAAATCTTAACATCTTCAGCTCTGCCACCTCCAGCTTGGCCTCCTGTCTATTGTCAGTCTTGCTGTCTTGACACCATACATCATAGCAGATACTACTTCAGTCTCGTAAACCATCCCTTTCACTCCTGCTTATATCTTTATGCCACAAATTACCCCTGACACTTGTTTCCTCCCACTCCACATACTCAACTGTCTGTTGTTTTGGATGGTTGACCCCAGGTATTTAAACTTGCACATCTTTACTACCTCTACTCCTTTCATTTTCACTGTTACACACTGTCTCCCTCATTCACAAAACTGTATTCTGTTTTTTATTTTACTGACTTTCACTCCTCTTCTCCTCAGACCTCCACCCCTCCAGATTCTACAGCCTCTCTTATTTCCAAAGCTGAATTTTGTTTTGTTACTATAATGACTACAATGTTGAGGTAAATGCCTGACTTTTCCGTTTTTGAAACTTGCCAGTAGTTTGCACCTTGTGGTCAATCCCCTGTGCATCTGCAATATGTTTTGATCCACAAGGGAACGAGCAAACCTACTCCTGGAGAAGCTTCTTGACCTGCTGTGCTGTTATAAAAGGGTTTTTTGTTTTTGTGCCTCTCAGTCTGCCAGTTTCTTTCTCACTTCCTACTTTTCTTTAGTACTTACTACATTTTAAGCACTCTTTGGTGCATGAAATAATGTTGAAACAATACACAGCTGGATAAAACAGCTGTTTGTAGTCAAGTACTTCATGGTTAAATCCTTGTGATGCAAAACTTGTTTTAAGGCTACAGCTCACACATAATTTGTCATGGTCCCTGTGCCTCCCCGGACAGCCCAGTGTGGCCACAAGTGTTTGTTGTTTTACTCTCTCTCTGCTCCCCTCACCTTGCTCTCTCTCTCTCTCCTACCTGTCTGCCTGGGCGGAGCTCTGATTGGGCTCCCGCCCTTGGCCCACGCACCTGCAGCTGATCTCCGGTGATTTGCAGCTCTTCTTAAGACAGGGGCTCTGAGCTACTCGTCGCTGGAATATTGAGTAACTCTCGTTAGTATTGCCTGGCTTCATTGCGATTCTGTTGTTCCGTGCTTGCCTCCGACTTACCCTCGTCTGTGTTAATAGGTTTACCTGGATCAGCCCTTTTGTGACCCCTGGACCCCGTGAGTGTGAGTGGGCAGCTTGTGTGGAGATTGTTTGGACAAGCAGCGGAGCAAGTGCGAAGAAGTGTGTTTCCCCAGCCTATTGATCCCCGGAACCCTGGAGTCCCCCCCTTCACGTGTACATTTCGCACCAGTGTGATTAATAAAGTATTGTTGAACTGTGCTTTCTCAGTCTGCATCTGAATCCATTCCACCAACGTGACATAATTCCTTCAGGACTGTAAACCAACCTAAATTAAATCAGATAGTCTTGTTATTTCAACTAGAATCTCACTATTAATACAAATGTTACAGCTCAAAGACCAATGTTACAACCCAAAGGGCCTTTTAGTAAATAGCACAGGTCTTTGGTCAGTCTGATGTAGTCTTGTAAATGCTGTAAATTCTGCAAATGCTCCACTGACGCTCACACAGAATTACAATTTAAACCCTTAGCCAATCCATTACCAGTGGCATCACTGGAAGCCTTATATATTTTATTTAAACCATATTTTTCCCCTTTTTTTCAACATCCCTGATGCAGTTTCTCTACTTCCATTAAAAAAAGAACTGTTTGAGAGCCACTCATATACACTCACAGGCCACTTCACTTCAGGTACACCTTGCTGATATTGGGTTAGATCTCCTTTAACCTTCATAACTACCTTAATTCTGAATCGCATAGATTGAACAAGTTGCTGGAAACATATCTTGGAGATTTTGCCCCGTATCTGAAATAATCTTTTTTGACATAGCGCATTATCCTCCTGGAAAAAGCCATCAGAAGATGGGTCACAATGTACAATGGACATGATCAGGAACAACACACAGGTAGGCTGTAGTATTTATAGGATGCTCAGTTGTTACTAAGAAGTCCCAATTGTGCTCAGAAAGCTTTCTTCCTCATTCTGATGCTCAATTTGAACTTGACCAGGTTGTCTTGACAATGTCTGCATGTCTAAATGCACTGGGTTACTGCCATGGGATAGGACGATTACATATTTGCATTACGCAGTTGAACAGGTGTACCTAACAAAGTAGCCAGTGAGCGTATACTGATCTGCTAAAGCCAACTTTACAACTGATATCAGCACTACTACTACTAACATTACTACCACCGAAGAACTGTCTATGTATTTCAAATATGACATCCTAATTCTAATACATCCAAGATCAAATGGTTTGAATATACCTACTGGTTTTATAACTCAACACAGGGCTGTCAAATCCATTCCACCTTCTCAAGTTCAAATAGCAGACATACGTTTTTATCCTTTGCTAAAGTTATAACACTGCCTTAAGTCATTGGCTGTCTTAATCGTCCTTCGTCTAAGCTCTTTTAATACGATTTGGTTGCGGTGGGCAAGTCAAGGTCTGGGGAAAAGTATGTAGAGAGGACCCACTGCAATGCAACACTCTGGGACCAACAGAATGAAACTCCAAATTGAAAATGGCGCCCACCTTGGCCGGGTCAATGATCTGTGTGTTAGTGTGTGTATGTACAAACGTGTGTGTGTTGGGGGGAGAGAGAGAGAGAGAGAAAGGGACAGAACTGCAAGTAGAGCACTTTCTTGAGCAATGGAGCGCATCTGCATAAAAGGCAGGTTGAAATCTTGGAATCCTTTTAGTGTGTTAGACATATAAATTGCCTTTCACGGTGCTACATAAATCAGAAAGGACTATGCATGTGTGGCCTTTCTCTGCCTCTCTGTCTTCTGTCTCTCTGCAGCCATACTCCTCTTCCTATGGTGCTGATGTGACTGTGTGTGTGCGCGCGTGCGCCTGTACGTTGCTTTCTGACAAAAGCTGCTCTTGACAAGCCAAGCCTGCCCCCTCTCAACACCCGTCTTATCCGCTAACATCGTGATCCATCATGCTGTGGTTCACTGGAACCCTCCCACACACACAACGATCCCCTGCTCTCATCCTCACCTCCACCCTCCAAGCTGCCACTCTGACCTGCCTCAATCCTTCCCCTTCCTCCTCCCACTTACCTTCCTCATCTCATCACGCTTTCTCATGCCTCCGCTCTGTGTGCCACACTCCCTCAATCCCACCCATCTGCACACCATTTCCTCCTCCCTCCCGCCCTGTGAGTCTCCCTTACTCCCTCTCGCCCCCTCTCCTGCTTCAAGTGTTTATCTCGCTGCCTGCGCTCCAGTCATCCAAGCAGTCAGTGGAAAGAAAGAGAGCTCTCTCTCTCCTGGGTCTGTGACCCTTGTCAGGGGGACAAACTGCCCACCGCTGCTTGCCTACACAGCTGGAAAATTAAGAACTTGTGGGGGCGGGAAGGTTCACGGTGTTTGTGTGTTAATGTGTGTGCGTGACAGGGAAGGAGGGAGATGCTCATAGATCAGTCTTGAATGTGGGGAAAAAAGAGAGAGCGAGATGGTATGTGAATGTGTGTGAGACTATAAAGAGTGTGCGCACGTGTGTGTGTGTGTGTGTGTGTGTGTAAGTGTAAGAGAGAGATCAGGTTAAGCAGTCTTGTTTAGAGAGGAAACAAGCTGCAGATGGTTGTGGGTGTCCAGCTGTTACTCCATCTAATGGGTTAATGAGTATCACAGCACCATCCAACTTGCCTTGTCTTCCTCTTTGTCTCTCGTGTTTTCTCTCTATCCCACATTAGCCTGGCACACAACCACATGACTATTTTGTGAACAAATAGCTCAAAAGAAAACCAAAGAGACAAAAAAAATAGAGAACTTTAGGACCATCCCCTTCCTCCATTAACAATCACAAACAGCATCTGCTGCTTGTTTTCTATGAAGGTATTCATTTCAAAGCCGCTGCCCAGGTTTCTGTTATTGTTGCATAACATTACTGGGGTTCTTTGACCTTAAAGCAAATCAATTGCCCTGCGGGACTATGGAAACACTAAAGAGTGTCGGGATTCTTTATTTGCAGGATTTTCTCAGGGGGGGTTTTGACAAAGTGCCTACCAAGGTGTGGATAAAAAAAAAGAAAAAAGCAACATAAAAAAACCACAATCCTCAAAACTACCAGCACATGTTTCAAAACCATCCGTGGGCGAGCAAACAGTGAATGAGTTTTAAAAGGATGAAATATGAACCATTCGCAACACATTTTTTTTGAGATAGAGTACCCTGAGAGAAAATGACTCCTTCTCTTTGGTTTATGTGAAAGATGTAACACAAAAAACCCAAATGGTTGCACACAACTAGACTGCAGACAGGGTTATGGATTTCTGATTTGTTTTCATAAAGTTTAGTTTCATTTTCAGGCTTGCGCATGGGCCCACGTAAGTGAGGTTCAGAACATACAAATGCTTGTGGAGACACCTCACAAGCCAAGAGACACAGCGTTTGTTTTGATCTTTTAAAAAAAATGCTTTCATCGGATCAAGTGTCTCTTTAATGACCGGCCTGATTTGGGGTTTTTAACTCAAGGGACATAATTAAAACGCGTAAAACAATTAGACACAAAGAAAACAAAATCGGCTGGAGCATTAAATTATATATTCTCAAAAGGTACCAAAGCTAAAATTATAGGGGACATCTTCTGTTTGTTGTTTTTCTGAGAGAAGAAAGAAAACAAATCAATCAGCCAATGCACATGCAAATCCACAAACGTACACGCCAGAAATGTGTCCCCAACTTTAAGAGAAATGTGCAGGAATGTGAATGTGTAATCAATTAATTGGCTATTATGAGATATTATAGATATTATGTCTCCAAGCATCTTTAAAAGATATGACAACATGATAAACACGGATTTTAAAACATATAAAATATAATGCAGTGTCTTTCTTGTCTTTCATATTTTTTCCATTACATTCTTATATGAAAAAAACCTAAAAGGATAAACAGATGGTTTTCTTTTTTCACCATAATTGTTAAGCTAAAATGTCTGTTGTTCACTCACATGTATTTTAGTATATTAGTATATTAGTATTTATTTATTTATTGTCATTGTCAGAGAACAATGAAATTGCATTTGGGGCTTCCGTACAACCCGTAAATAAAATAATGAAGAAAATAATAAATACCCCTTAAAACCCAAGTGTAAATATTTAACCCAGTGTGACTCCAGTGCAATAAGACAATCCTGTATAGACCTGTACCTTCTCCCTGAGGGCAGCAGGTGGAAAAGGTGGCGCGCAGGGTGATGTTGGTCCCGCAGAACACTGTGCACCCGTCTCAGACAGCGAGTGGGGAAGATATTACTAATCTCTGGCAGACTTATTCCAATAATTCTGCCAGCTTCTTTCACCAGTCAGTCATGTGCTCATGACTGACTGCTCAATTTGTTCACACCTGCTAGCAAAGTGTAGAGCATGGATGGCCCTGAAAGCATACACACTCCTCTTAACCATGCCATACAACTGCTGTTGTATGGCAAACCTTTATTGTGAAAGGTTTACGTGGAAAACAAACAAGCGGACAGCGGAGCCACGCGATGGTTTTACCGTCATTGTTGCTAACGACAACACGTAAAAACAGGCGCTTGTCCGTCCATAGTGTGGTTTTATTAAATATAAGAGAAAGAGAGAACTTTAAGAAATTAATATAGCCACTACAGTGACCATCAAAACGATGAAAAAATATTGCTGTAAACGGTTTATTTTACGACACCACGAAACAAACGATAGCGTAAAACGAAACGATAGACGTTTTTATATCGTCATCCGATATATATCGTTATATCGAACAGCCCTCGTGTCCACTTCCTGCTCACTACAAGATAATATCTTATGATTGTTATTAAATTATGTAAAGTTGATCAAAATGTTACTACTGACCTAGAATACTCTCTACATTTCTTTAATTGTGAAATCATTCATGCTCTACTACACGACAGTTATAATGTTAACTGATGTGCAGCAGTGGTTTTAGCATTTAACATTTCTTTGACAACAAAGAATTTCTTGTCCTTCATCTCCCATAAGATCCATACATAAAACTGTGAATATGTTTAGGATGGATTCTCCTCAAGATAGAAACACACCACTAAAATGGAGCTCTGGCAGACGCTGTTTTAGGTTGTCTTTGGACATTAAAATAATGTGGCAGGCGATGTAATATTTAAAAGTGCTCAAAGCTCGCCATTTCTTTCTCTTTTGAAGTGATCTAAATATCTGTGACACAGCAGATGGACCCTCAACATGTCTGTGCTGCAGCTCTACTTTAGTGTCCAGTGCTGGCCAGCATCTTGTAACAGTGC